TAAGCTCCGCTTCACGGTTCAGAGCTCAGGACTTTGGGGTCTTGGGTTAAGGAATTCAAGTTTATATAGGGTCTAGGCTCTCGGGTTACAGTAAACCCCAAAAAGTTGGAAACCGGATTAAGGACAATTCGTGCTGGGATTCCCTGTGCATTACTCTTGAGGATTCAGGCTATCGGGTTTCCATCTTTTGGGCTTCTACTATCCCTAACCCTAAACCCTGAACCCTAAACCCTAAACCCTAAACCCTAAACCCTAAACCCTAAACCCTAAACCCTAAACCCTAAACCTCTTTCCAGCTTTCGGCTTCCAACTTTGCGTGGACTTCAGCGTGTAAGGCACTCAACAGCTTCATGGTTCACGGAGTGGACCGGCTTACCCATAGGCTTTGGGGTTTAGGGTTTAGGGTTTAGGGTTTAGGGTTTAGGGTTTCGGGTTTAGGGTATTACCCATAGGCCCCATAGTAGTTCCTTTTCGGGGGTTACCTTATAGGATTCTATATATGAACCCCAAAACGGAACTACTTTAGGGCCTATGGATAGTTCTCTAAAGTAGGGTCCCTTTTAGGATTCTTTTTTTATAAGGGTGCCGTACTATATTGGGGACCTGAAACGGGACCGTAGTTTAGAGAACTACCCATGTAAGGCATTCAACAGCTTCATGGTTCACTAGGTGTCGGTTCCAACAGTCCCCAAAATTATTCATAAAAATATTCATAACCAGGAACATGGAAACTGTCCCAAATCCACAGTTAGATCAGGATTTGGGGTTCATGTTTAGGTGGGGATACAGCTTTCAGGATTCCAGGCTTGCCTGTGTAAAGGTTTTAGGATTTAGTGTTAAGAGTTTAGGGTTTAGGGTACGGTTTAGGGTTTAGGGTTTAGGGTTAAGAGTTTAGGATTTCGGGTTTATAGGGCAGAAAGAGTTAGGTTCAGAGCTCAGGGATAACATGTTCCAAAGTGCCTGCTTTTAGGGTTTGCATATAGCCCGATTGTAGTTCCTTGACTTGGTGAACCAATCCTGTGGTTAAAATCCTATAGCATAAGGTTGGTTGCCCAAAAAAAATTACTACCATGGAAAAGCTTCGTAAACGGGTATCTCTCTTGTTCAATACCCGGGCCCAAAAAAGTTCAAGCTTCTGAAGATAGACCAAAGTAGATGGGTAGTTCTCTAAATTAGGGTCCCCTTCTAGGTCCCCCACATAGTGCGGCGCCCTTCTAACCCTAAACCCTAAACCCTATTTCAAAGGACCCTAATTGGGACCTTTATCGCCAACAAGTTTGAAACACTCCCGTTGGCCGAGTAACGTAGGGGCCTGACAGTTATACCAATACTTTTTTTTGTGTGTGTGGGGGGGGGGGTTCCTTATTATTACTATTATTATTATGATAATTGTTGCTATTATTACTAGTCTTATTCTTACTATTAGTATTAGTACTAGTATTGTTCATATAATAAAATATACCCCAAACCCTATTCAATTTATTAAGGCCCCCAAGCCCTAAGCCCTTATAGTAGCCCATATTATAGAACCCGTCAAGGAACCCTTTATAGTATACCCTATGAAGCCCTATTCCAATGATTAAGGCCCCTACATTCAGGTTTTGTGATATCGGAACCCTAAACCCAAAAACCCTATACCCTAAACCCTAAACCCTATACCCTAAACCCTAAACCCTAAAACCTGAAGCGATGGGGGTTTCGGTCTTTGGGTTCGGACTCAGGGACTGAAAGCTGGGTTCCGAACCAGCTTTGGTTCGGGTTCAGGGTTCAGGGTTCAGG